CCCACACCCACATCCACACCCACACCGACCCACACCCTGACATTACCGTACCCAACGTTACTAAACCCTCAGCTTATCAAGCATTTCGACTATGTGGAATGGAGTAGGCGACACAATGTGAGGTGAGTGTTGTGCGATAATGTCCTGCGCGTAACGTTGGTGAATCCTAAAAATGTCGTTTTTACACGAAATTGCGCATTAATGTTGTCATTTTTTTTACAAAAACTTTCCATCAAATGTTACCAAAACGCGGGATGTCAAAGTTTTTCGTGAATTTATAACGAAATACTTGGATCAAGTTGGCACGTGAACATAGACGGAAAGTTATCCGGTTTTTGAAAAAATTTTTGGGAAGTTTTCATTTTCAATTATTGGGAGTGCGAAGCACGCCTTTTATGAAAACTTCCCAACGATATTTTGCGATTAACAAAAAAGGGATATTTGAAGTTATGCATTGCCAATTTTGATTGAAATCAAAAATTTTGATTAAGAGGTTGTCCGTTACGTTTAAGAGCTCGTTTGTTGCTTTTAAGAGTTTGTCTGTTACACTTTAAGAGCTCGTCTTGGGTGTGAGTGTGAGGGTGTGTGGGCGCACTGTATCTCTTTCTCTTCATCTGCATCCAAACCCCACACCCACACCCATCGCTACCACCTACAAAGATAACAGTGGGTTTTTTTCTGATTCAAAAAAAATCCCATACTTAGCAATGATGAACTATTAGTTTGATAATACCTTATGTATTGATACACTACATTCATCATCACCCATCATTTACCAATAGGTGGTAAATGTTGTACATACTAATACCTAATAGGTGGCGACTGATACCTGTCAACAGATAGTCAGAGGTCTGTATTAGTGTTGGACGATGCTGATATTGGTAGGTATTATTTGTCAAAAAATCATAGATTCGAATTCTTCGATGTTGAAAACAGATCGTCCGTGTTGGAAAAACGAAATCGTCAAAGCTATTAGAGATGAATGTATGCATTATAAAACATATAGAAATATTTGATATCAAATAATTCTTTTGTATATTAAAAATAAAATTTTAATTTTTTTTCATTAAATAAAGATAAATAGGACTTGAAATCGTTATTTTGATTGAATCAAGATCTTTTGATTGAGCAGAATTATTGTCTGTTTCTGTATTAAGATAAGCTTGACCTAATTTCTGTCGTAATGTATTTAAAATATCTTGATATGCTTGTTCACCATTTTGTTTTCTATATGTTTGACAAGGTGATGCTGTTTCAATAAAAGCAAGTAAACCTCCAATAGTTGTTTCAATTTGACGTTCAATTTTATATTGACGTAATGTTGATTGATACGGAAATAATGGTAAAATTGATTGATAATAATCATTAACTATATGTTGTTTTTCATTCCAATATGGATATAAAACATTATGATAAAATTCGGAATTAATTGCATCAGCTGCTGGATTATCTAAATTACCGAATGCATAAGTCCATACAGCAAATACACCGGTATTAGGTTTAAGTACATGTTTTACTTCTTCAATAAATACTTTTAGATCAAGCCAATGTAAAGCTACTGCAATAGTGATTAAATCAATTGAATTTGATTGAAGAAAAGATAAATCTTCGCCTGTATGACAACGATATTCAATATTATTTTTTAGAATGGCATGAGCAATTTGATCCGCACTAACATCAATACCAATCACTCGTTCACAAAATCTTTAAAAAGAAAACATTTTTTAGTATTTTTAAAAATTTTATTTATTATAAAAGATATTTACAGACTAAGATCTATTGTCGCTTGACCACTTCCACAAGCAACATCGAGTGCAAGTGTAATTTTTTCATTGGAAATTTTACCGTTAAAATAATAATCAACAATATGTTCGTATAATACTTTGGGATAAGAAGGTCTATAAAGACGATATTTTGCTGCATGGTCTTCACCAGTAAATAATTGATCACTCATAATAATGCTTGTTTTTTATTTCGATTAAATGATAATAATATTCTTTTCTTATCATCGAAAAAGATGTAAAGAACCAATGATTTCAAATTTTCGAATAGCATATTTACAAGTTGAAGATGCATTTGAAGTATAAATGTCGCATCGTGTATCTGAATGGATAAGGTAGGTAATATGTTACCTCATTTGATTGAATAGATTTGTAGTTAATTAGAATATTTTACAGAAAAATTATCATCATCCTTAGATTACTTTTTTTACGATTTCAGAGAGTGATATGATCGTTGTACTGATGGCTC